TTAAAAAGTGAAAAATGTTAGCACTTAAAAAGTTCTAATACTTACGCAGAGTGAACCATAAATAATTCATTTACTCCATATGCATCTGCATCATTTGAAATGCATCAGTGGTTCTATCAATATAGTGCAATGAATTTCCATTATGCGGAATAGGCTTGGGGACATCAGGGCTCTCAGGGTGTTGTTGATCTGAGCATTATTACTAAAGGTAAACTGAAATAAATTACCGCTGCTAGTACAAGACAACATTTTTCAGAATGGTAAATAAAACATATTAGTTCTAGATCATTAAATTCAATATCAAACTTTAAAAGAGCCTAGAGATTTATTTTATAATTGTATTAGTAAAATATACAATAAAACTAATGTGATGTTCCGCATAACCAAAAAAAAGGCTTTGCTTTGTTTAGATCTCAGTTATTAGGTAACATTTTCGAAAGGGCTTGTAACTTAGTCAAAAGCCTTTGACTTGCAATGAGAGTTAGGCTCCTAAGTGCCTGCGTCACTTTTGAAAATGGGACTCGGGTCCTTCTGAAAATTGTACCCCTTGTGCCTCTTCATGTAGGAGGAGGAATATTATGTCAGTGAGAAAGGGTAGTCTTGTGAACTGGGACTCAAGAGAACAGGGCTCAATTTCATTACTCAATGTCTCTGTTCCTCAGGCCTCATCTGTAAAATGGGGATAATAGTACTCTCTTTCATCCTTTACTGTCTTTTCTGTTTAGATTGTTAGCCATAATGGGTCAGACCAAAGATCTATCTACCCAGTATCCTGTCTTCCAACAGTGGCTGGTGCCAGATGCCCCAGAGGGAATGAACAGACCAGGTAATCATCAAGTGATCCATTCCCTGTCGCCCATTCCCAGCTTCTGGCAAACAGAGGCTAGGGCAGGGGCGGGCAAACTTTTTGGCCTGAGGGCCACATGGTAAATTGTATGGAGGGCCGGTTGGGGAGGCAGTCGTGGCCTGGCCCCCACCTCATATCTGCCCCCCCAGGACTCCTGCCACATCCAACCCCCCCGTTCCTTGACGGCCCCTCTGGGGCCCCTGCCCCATCCACACCTCCCCGCTCCCTGTCCCCTCACCGCCCCCGGACCCCCGCCGCCCCATCCAACCCCTCCTCTCATTCCTGCCGGCCTCCCCGGGACCCCTGCCCCATCCAACCACACCTTCTCCCTGCCCCCTGATTGCCCCCAGAACCCCTACCCCTGACTGCCCCCATCCAACCCCCCCTCCTTCCTGACTGCCCCTGCCACCATTCAACTCCCTGTTCCCCCCCCCAAAAAACCCCACTCCCTATCCACACCCCCACCCCCTGACCACCACCCTGAACTCCCCTGCCCTCTATCCAATCCCCCTGCTTCCTGCCCCCTTACCACACTGCCTGGAGCACCGATGGCTGGCAGCGCTACAGCCGTGCCGCCTGGCTGGAGCCAGGCCACACCGCCACCGCCACCACACAGCCCAGAGACTGGGTCAGGCCGGGCTCTGCAGCTGCGCTGCCCCAGGAGCTCACAGCCCCGCCGCCCAGAGCATTGCGCCGGCAGCGGAGCAAGCGAGCTGAGGCTGAGGGGGGACAGCAGGGGAGGGGACAAGGGCTAGCCTCCTGGGCCAGGAGCTTGGGGGTCGGGCAGGACGGTCCCGTGGGCCGGATGTGGCCCACGGGCTGTAGTTTGCCCACCTCTGGACTAGGGACACCATCCCTGCCCATCCTGGCTAATAACCATTGTTGGACCTATCCTCCATGAATTTATCTAGTTCTTTTTTGAACCCTATTATAGTCTTGGCCTTCACAACATTCTCTGGCAAAGAGTTCCACAGGTTGACTGTGTGAAGAAATACTTCATTTTGTTTGTTTTTAAACCTGCTGCCTATTAATTTCATTTGGTGACACCTAGTTCTTGTGTTATGAGAAGGAGTAAATAACACTTCCTTGTTTTCTTTCTCCACACCAGTCATGATTTTATAGACCTTTATCATATCTGCCCTTAGTCATCTCTTTTCAAAGTGAAAAGTCCAAGTTTTATTAATCTCTCCTCATATGGAAGCTCTTCCATACCCCTAATCATTTTTGTTGCCCTTTTCTGTACCTTTTCCAATCCCAATATATCTTTTTTGAGATGGGGCGACCACATCTGCATGCAGCATTCAAGATGTGGGCATACCATGAATTAATTCTCTCTGTTAACTACTATTAAATCAATGGGATTATATCGGTATAGGTCAGAACCACACACTTCCTGGATTCAAGCCCCAATTCAGAAAAGTGCTTACGCATGTTCCATTTACTTCAATGGGATTTTTGTCCTGAAGAGAGATGTCTTCTTGTGTTGGGACTTTAGAACCTGATCCAATGCCCACTGACATCAATGAAAAGACCCCCAAAACCCACTGAAGCAAATGGATCAGAATTGAGAGATTTCATTAGCTGAACTGCTTTGAAAGCAAATCACTGAGACCATTTGAATACTCCTAGCTATGCAACGTGCTTATCATTGGCTAGGCTAACAAACTCTTGTCTTTTATAACAACACAAAAAATAAAACGAGAGAGTAATACCCTTTAAAGGAAATCTGGTAGACGTGAAAAGAGCCAAGAGCATCAATTTTTGCAATCTAGCTTTCAGATCTCTTTACATTAGAGTGGTTTATGTTGTGTTGTTAACAACAAGGGAAGAATGGGGACAAGGATATATGACACTGTTACGGTTTCAATTATTTTGTCGGAATCCCAAAACAACCAGGGTTCTTTCCACCCATTAATTCCCACTTTTACACACATCTTTCAGCGCTATTTTCTACTAAGCTGTGTTAGTGTGAAATAGGCTTCTTTAGTGAGTCCTAAGGGAAGAAGAACTTGCATTTTGAGAACCAAGAACAGCTGGGTACAACAGGACAGAGGGTGGATGGGGTAGTGGGCAAAGCATGGACTAGAACTTTGGACTACTGGGCTCTATTTCAAGCTCTTCCACTGAACTGTTGGTCATTGTAAGCTTGATTTACCAGTTACCCAGCTGTACAAAGAGTGTAATATTTCCCTATCCAAAGGGGTATTGTAAGAATTAATTAATGTTTGTAAAGTGCTTTGAGGTTCTTGGATGAAGGGCATTATAGTATTTTACTGCAAGACTCTGCTCTCAGTTACACTGGTGCGAATCTAAAGGAATATCACTGGTTTCATGGAGTTCCTCCAGATTTACACTGGTGTACCTGACATCAGAATCTGAAACATAATTATTATAACCACCACCAAAGGGAAAATCATTTAATCAGAAATGTTTATAATGGCTTGACCAATGACAGCTTAATATTTTTTTTTACTTTTATAGAACCTTAGATTATTTGGGTATGATCTAAAGCCCACTGAAGTCCAAGAGGGTCTATTGATTTCAGTGGGCCCTGGATCCAGATCTTTACCAACAATTCAATGTGGGAGTTATAACGCCTGCCAAAAATTAGAGGCTAATAAAAACATATAGCTATTACCAGCATGCAAACAGTTCGGGAAAGCTTGTATTTGCACAGGAAAAAAAAAAGAACATTATTGTGCAGAAAAACACATTTTAACCATGAAAGAAATTAGTTTTTGAAAATCTCTAAGTGGAGCTGGAAAATTCTCCTGATGTTTGTTCAAATAAAAAAAATATATTGCGTTATCATCCCACAAATATTCTAGTGGCAGAGTTTAGGTGCAAAAATATTCATAGGAACAGGATAATATGAAGCAAAATAATCAAAGAAATTCACCCGGGGCAAGGAATGTTTCATAATAGGTGTCTGTACAGTGCCCAGAGCAGTCGAGCAGCCTCTTGATTGGAGCCTTTAGGCATGAAAAGGTTACATAATAATGCTAAAGAATGGTTTCTGAACTCCTAAATGCAAGAAGTATTTCCACCTTTATTCTCCCCATAGATTGCAGTACTGGGAGAGACAGTCCAACAGGTGTGCAGAAACTGAAAACGGGCACTCACCAGCCAGAAGTCCTCTGGCAAGTCGCCCATTGGTTGTAGTGACAGACACTGCCTGCAATGGCTTCTCCACCAGCGGCTAGTGCAGCAGAAAAAAAAGTGGATGGGGCTGGCCAGAGATGGATGTGCTTAGAGTGACTGGGGGATGCACTGATCCAGCCTATTCCCTTGGCAATCTCTCTCCCCACCCCTCTCCGGGGATTAAAATTGCTCCCACAGGGTAGACCCCCCCTCAAAAGGCAGATTGCAGCAGCGAGGACCTGGTTCAGCTCCAATTAAAGTCAATAGAAAGATTCCCGTTCACTTTAATGAGAGTCAGGTTGGTCCCTAAATGAGCGGTACAGCATGTTGTTGTTTCATTCCAGCAAGAGCTGATTTAGATTGTAGTAGATGCCAGTGGGGGGCTGGAATTTGCATCTGTAGAACAATTTCCACTGCTGCACATATGGTGTGCATTAATTCTGGTATTATTCTGTCTCTTCCCCTTGGTACTGGAAAATATAGATTGCAAGACAGGATAAAAAGAGTAGATCGCTCACATACAAGGAGCAGACCAGCTGTTGCTGGACCACTGTGTTGCTAGTTGCCTAGCAACGCTTCACCTCTCTGCCTGAAAAAAATATTTTGGCGAGGGAATACATTATGAAAATATAAATCAGAAGATTTGTTTATGGTAAAATAAAGACGGACCATGATAGTGCTCTAACCATTTGTTTTGACCACCTGTTGCATCTTGTCAGCTACCATGATTATAAGCTGTTTGGGAGAGGGGCTGTCTTTTTCACTTCATGTCTGAATGGCACCAACCAACAGCCCTGACTGGGGCCTCTAGGGGTTACTGACACATATGTGATGCTGTGTATAATGGAGAAATATAATTTACACATTTACCCTGAGGAAAGCTGGAGTAAGAATTTGGGTACTAGAGACACAAGTCAGGAGAAAGAGTGAGAAAAGGAGGGAAAAAGAAAGACAGGAAGAGGAAAGAAAAAGTGAGAGCAGAATTATTGTCAAGTGTGCGTGTAAGACTCACCACTTATCCATTTAGCCTCTGGGTCATGAATTTTGAAATCAGGACTGAACAGATCTTCCACTGTTATCTTTTTCTTTTGAGATAGGCTGTTATCTTCAACTGTAAAACATTCAGAAGGAAATAGGCGTTATTCCTCATTTGAAATATATCTGCAAATGCAACAGTTGTGAATGGCATATAACTCCCCATGCTGAGCTCCTCCACATTTCAGAATAGATGGGAGAACACCATGGCCTGAATTCTCAGTCATGTTAAGGCCCCTGTAGGCAGGCTGAGTGGTATAATGGGACCTTAATGTAAAGTCAAATTTGGCCCAATATTCTGAAATTCATATATACTGTGTATTAGGAGCAAATGCCTGGTCCCAATGACTACAAAAGGACCAAAATCTGATCCAAAGTGTGTGTTTCTTCTGAACAAAACTTGTTTTTTTTTAAATGTATTCGTCATAGCAATACAAATTATTGAAGAGATTGTTCTAACACCACTGGTTAAATTATGCCATACGTTAAACATTCAAATAGTGGGAAAAGAAAAACAAAACACAAGTCTAGATTGAGAAAGGTGGTTAGGCACCTAAAGATATAGATTGGTTCTTGGTGGGATTTACAAATTATTTCAAGGGGAGTTAGGTACTAAACTGGGCTTTTGCAAATCCCACTAGGTGATTCTCTGCATCTTTAGGCTCCTTTATAAATCTTCCCCCTACTCAGGTACATTTATAATAAAAAGACAAAACTTCATTTGCAATAACTGTGAAAACAAAGCCGCTCTCTGGATTACATGCACATAATTTTGAGACTCTGGAAGACTTAGTAGATGGCAGAGGGATAGGCTCAGCATCATTCACCAATACTGTGTCTCCTGATGACGCTACTTCTATTGCCCTTCCTTCCCCACCCCCAAAAAATGCTTCCTACATATCTTGGATGCTATCATCACAAACTCTCATGCACTAGGACAGGACTCCCACTATATATCCTCACATAATAGGAGGAGAATCAATTTCAACATCAAAAGGGTAGAAATCTTGGTACAGAAGACCACAAAACAATAGCAACTGCTCTTGGCAGAAGGACTTAAAAAGAATCCTTTGAGTCTGGAACTCATCCAATGGTACACTGAGATACAATAATAAGGAGACGGGAATTCAAACATAAATGCAAGCAAGTCTTTCATTGTCTGGCACTAATTTCACACAATGAAATGTCAAATCTTCATGTATCTTCAGGTATGAACTAACTTCACTTTTTTAAAACAAAGATTGCTTTGATGTGTAATTCTTCAGGTCAGGTGTTTGAGGCACCAGCTGATTGCCTGAACACAGCTGGCTGGGGTTGGGCCAAATGCTGTCTTTTCAGAAGCTAGCCTCATTACTGAGGAACAGGGGTGGGGGAGGAGACAAAGAGGAGAATAGCAGAAGCAAAAAGAAAGCTGGTTCCTGTACTATTTATTCTCCTATGGTGCCCCATCCCCACCCTTGTAATGTAGTACTGAACACATATTGAAGGTGCTTATGCAGTGAAACTTAAATACAGGGGGCCTAACTGGTGCACTATACAACAGAGGGATTTTGTACCAGCTGCTAGAAAACAGAACTAGTGGGGGCATTCTACTGAAGAGGCAGAACTTCTCAATGGCATTAAGATGCTATCTTCTCAGCACTCTTCAGCAAGAACCACAGTATTTTCATGATTCCCCTTCTGCTCTGAATTCTGAGTCTCTTGCCCATCTTTAGAATTTGCAGAGACATACTTTGGCTAGCCTGAGACTGGTACAGATAAAGCAATCTAGCGCCTTTTTTGGGGTAGGGGGGAGCCAGCAGTGACATCAAGATTCCCAGACATTGCTGACATTTTTTTAAAAAGTCTTCTGATTCCAGTGTGTAATGCAATATGGCATGTAGGATTCAAGGAGTTAATTGAGTGTCTCCTCTGTGGGCCCTATTAAAAACTGAATCCATACGGCATTAGAGGTCTGGTGACAATCCAAAGCAAGTGCAGAGAAGATCAACAGCTTGTGATTCTTAAAGGAAAGTTAATATTATCTGGGGTATAATTAATGTCTGCAGTGTTTAATAAGCACTCAGGAGTCAGGATGGTTAGAGGGAAGGTACAGCGCTGTTAATTAGCTTGGCACTGGACATATGAAGTTCACACCAGGCATGGTAGACACTCCCATACTAACATGACATCTCATTTGTATAGTCATTTCCATGCCACATCTACACAAACTATTTCATGAATACATGATAAAGGATCTCAGGCCAATGGATGAAGAGCATATACAATATCAATGGATCCTAGATTAGGTACATAGCTGGGTGGAAAATGGAAAATTATTGCTTTTCATAGAAAAACTAAACAACAGTTTTTTGGCTGGAAACCCCCTTTTTGTCCTGCAGTTCTGGGGCAAAAAAATTGAATAATTTTCAATCAGCCCTTAGTATGCGTATTTATTCCTCAAATGCACAAATAAAGCCACATTTTGGATGTCACTAGTGCAGGTCTATCTACTTCTACAACATCACTGTAGGATCTGATTGCCTGAGGTGTGCTGGTATCATGTGGCCCTAATTTTCTTTACTACTGTTTAATATTAACTTGCTATGCATTTATATACAGTGGAAACAGACTTCTTGAAGCCAATTAAGGGAGGAGAAAATGGCTTTTTACTTCACTAATCTGCAGCTACTGAGCAACCCAGAGCTACTTAGTAATAACTGTGAAACATGTTTTGTTTCACTAGCAGGTGTTCAAACATCTTGTACCACCTGTACCAGGTTATAACATGTTCTTTCAGTTTTCCTATTTTCAAACTATGATTGAGTCTTTAATTGTTTAACTTGATTTGGCCTCACTCGCTACAGGAACTGAAATAGCCTAACGCAAATCCCCTGTCAAACCCCTCTATGCAATAATAGTTTTCCATGCTCTTCACATTTTTATTAAACCAACAATATAGATTCTGAGGAACTCAAGGAAACAGATCTCTTTAATTAGTGATAAACAGCAGGGTGCTAATACTTAGTACCTGGTGGCAGCAAACTGGGTAACCAGAGTAGGTGGGGGAGGAACGGTAGAGCTGCCAAAGCCTAAATAGCAAGGTGAGCCACCAGTTGAGGGGGAAACTATTTACTGGGAAAATCCACTCTGGAACGAACATTTGGATATATAAGTTGGGTCCCTAGTCTTCCAGCACAGTCATAAGGACAGACACTCCCTTGTTTCAACATTAGAGGATGGGGATCGGGTGGGGTAGAGGGCATGATCCTTTCCTATCCACGCAGGCCAGGGACAACTGCACTCAGACAAGCACCGGGACCACTCTCTCTATATAGGGCCTGGGCAAGCCTAACACTCCAAAGGAGTGGAGGATTAGGCAGCACTATTGTTCCCATCACACACACAGAGCAGCCTTGCTGTGGCAGTCTCTCCTTGAGCTCCACACCAACACACTAATGGGTACAACATAGCCCACAACATGCTGTGGAGAACATTAACCTCAGTTAGTGTTGGCCTATGTACTTTCAGGTTGGAGACTAACCAAGGACCCTGTTCTGTGTTTTGAGCAGCTGGAATAAGGTGCCTTGAGCCAACACCACACACTCACAAACAAAGCTTCCCCTGACCAAGCAGGGCCCAAAGGTCTTTCCCCTCACATCTTCCTATACTGCTCCAGAGCCAGCCACAGGAACCCACCTGCTTCCCACAGCTCCACCGCCAACCAAGTTCTCTCAGCCCTTTATAGGAAACATGTGACTCCTTCTCAGCTGGGTCTGATTATGGAAAAAGGCCGACTGGGCCCAGACTCCCTGGCCCTTAAAGACTCCCTGTTACACCTTACCACAGCTAGAGCTGTAAAACCCAGATTTGTGCAGCTAGAAAAATAGGATTTCTGGTGTCTTGCTGGTACACGGAAACTGATATCCCAGCAGGATACGGTGGCTTTAAGCCACCTTTGCATGCCTCATATTCTGGAAAGGTTACTCTAACTTATGCTCAGGTCCCCTCTGGGCAATTACAACAACAGGAAATTCAACAATAGAAATTCAGAAAATAAAATGGAAAACACATATGAGGGTTTTTTTGCCACTGTTTTAGAACAGCCTGTGTGATGCTAGGCACACTGGGTCATGCTCATGGCTCACCGACTGTGCAGCTACTGGTAGTGCTCAGTGAGCTAATGCTTTACAGTGACTGCCTTTCAGACTCTCTCTGTGCCTGTGACATCTGCTAAAAATTTAATAGGGAATTGGATGCACTTACTTATACAGTTAAAGGTCAGACTTGAAGGGAACAATCTTGAAGTGTATCTCCAGAAAGTGTTAAAGACTAAGGGTACCTCTACACAGCAGCTGGGAGGTTTCCTAGCATGGATAGACAGACATGTGTTAGCTTTGCTTGAGCTAGCATGCTAAAAATAGCAGCAAAGCCGGGGTAGCACAGGAGATGGCTCGGACTAGCTGTCTGAGTATGTATGCGGGGGGGGGGGGGGTCTGGGCAGGTTTGTCTCTGAGTTGTCCCCCACACAAACCCCAGCTACGCTGCTATTTTTAGCACTCCAGCTTGAGCACAGCTGGTGGTGTCTTGCACTCCGTAGCATGCTTCCAGCTGCAGTGTAGACATACCCTAAGAGGAAACATGCATAAAGTCATTGCTTAGCTTTGCTTTCTGAATACAGAGCCTGAGATCCTGAAGATCTTCCTTAGGCAAAACACCTACTGAAGTCAATGAGAAGTTTGATTGAGAAAGCACTGCAGGATTGGGCCAACTGATAGCAAGTCTCTCCTACTTTGTTTTGATTTACATATTAGTTTCTATCACCTTTTGTGAGAAGGGAGCTAAATATTGTTGGTAAAGTATCAATCCTACAACACTGGACTCAAGCAAAGTTTGGGGGGGGTTCATTGATGTGAATGTGCAGCAGGAACTAGTCTGCATTTCAAAGCAGGTTGGAACAGCTGCACTCACACAAACCTGTATTTGAAGCCACAAACTACTATGGGTTTTGTGGGCAATTTTGCACAAGCAGATACTCACTAGCAAATATCTGCTAAGACAAGCAGATACGGGACTTGAAAATGCTGCCCCTGCAAGTCTAAAAGGAATATAAATCACTGAACTCGCACAATTTTAGTAGGGTTTTGTAAAATAAGAAATAAAAAAGCAGTTGAAAATTAAGCACTTCTGTTACTAATTAGACTTTCTAATGCATGTAGTGAACTCTGCTCATAATTTATGGGCTAGCTTAAAACAGGGAGAGTGACCTGTTTCTTAAACATTTGAACCAGCATGAATCTCAGCCTAACCGGAAATTGAACCCAGAGTTAAAACCTTTTTTAAAGGTTTTGATCAATTTGGAAGAGAAATTTAAAAAGGTACATAAAACCCTCTTCCTCAATTACTGGGCTCCAGCTACCTAACCTCCCCCTTCTCCACACCTTCCACTTACCCTTCTTTCTGAAGAGCATGCCCTGACTCTGACCCTGCATGAAAACCCCACCATCATGTGCTAGGCATGGATACAATTAATCACTGCTGCTTTGCTTAAAGCTGTATTGTAATCCTTCACTCTGCAGTGGGTTCCCAAAGTGCCTCAGACTCTACCTACCTGCATCATGCTCATGATTGATTCCTGAAGATCTATACACTGCAAGCCTGGGGGAAACACTGCAGAGAGGGCCATTGGAGCAGTGGCTCAAAGCAATGGACTAAACTGAGAGCTGGTTCCAGGTAAGTGATAGATCTATTAAAGATAGGTATGAGGGAAGAGTAACCGGACAAAGAAAGGAAGAGGTTTTCAGCAGCAGGCCAACAGGAACAGGACTATGGTATTATAGGGGTGGCAATTGTAGGATTGAGTCTGGAACACTATTATTTCCAGGAAAATTTCCCTATGTTTTATTTGCTCTGTGTGTTCTTATAGTTATATCATATATGTACATCCCAAGAGAGAAAAGGTATATATGTATGCACACATGTGCTTATATACACACACTATTATGTAAAAATAAGAGCTTACTCATCATATCTGTTCCCTACATGTCTTTTGAGTCACAGCAGATTACTTCAATGACAAGTTGTTCACCAACTACTAGCTCCGAAGATGCAGTGCAGGAAAATTTCTACCTACCTAGATGATGCAAGCTGAGTCAGCAGAAAATCTAAAAAAAATAGCTCAATGTGCACTGAACAGACAGATTCATCTCAATGGGGTGTTAACTTTGAAACCTAATTATGAAGTTTAAACAGTAACCTTAACTACTTCGCTGTGGATCATTTTAGCACAAACATCCAGCTAACGTGCTTATCCCACAATGCCAAACTGACAGCTACATCTTTTCAGGTGTCAAACGCTACAACTGCCCCCTACCCCAGCTAGCCAAACCTCCAGCTTCTGTCTGATAAATCCTACAATGCAGTGGTGTGTTTCCAATACTAGGACCCAGATTGTCAGTCCACTGATCTTGGCATAGCTATACTTAAGTCAATACTGCCATGTCCATTTACAGCAGCTGAAGACCTAGTTCAAAATTCTGCAGCACACTTAAAATGTAGAGAGCTGAATCAAATAAATTGAATATGGTATCAAGTTAAATAGCAGAAGGGATAATGTAGTGGTTGTCTAATTCATTTTCATATTGAGTGTAATAGAAACCTGCATTTCTTGATTTATCTGAGGCTGACACAGAATCTCTGGGATTGTAGACTCCAGCCACCTTGCCACCGAAGGTAGGTCAAACTTACTAAGGAGTACATGAAGCACTGGTACCTGCACAAAATTTGGTGCAATGTTGCTCCCACCGCTTGCATTTGCATACCCTATGTTCTTCTCTTTCCTGTTGCTTCCCTTTGTCTCCTTTCCCCGTTTTGGCTCTGGGCTTCTGATCATGTTGCTCGGTAGGCGTGCAACCACCCATCTGTTCTTGTTCACAGACAACCTTCTCTTTTCCTCCGTCAAACCCATCTCTTCAGGGAAACCTTCCACCCTCCATCTTTAGCAACCACTAAACCTTCCTGTTACTGAATTGCCAGCTCTTCAGGGCAGGGAAAGCATCTTGCCTCTATTCTGTAAATAGCCATGGAAATTTACAAGCCATAGAAATATGTAATAATCAATAAACATAATGATGTCACATTAAAATTCAAGCCTATGGCCGCTGCCTGGTACTTGGCAGTTATCGTAAGAGAAGTAATTTACAAAGGCTAGGCATACAGAACACAGCTGAAAGATGAAGTTTAAAGATCATCCATTGGGAAGTATAAATTATTTACTCCACTACAAAGCTGTGTAGTGCACGGTTGTGTTTTATATTCTTAGAAAAATAAAGAGCTGGGATCTGATCCAAACCCCACTGAAGTCAAATGGATCCTTCTATCAACTGAAAAGGGCTTTGGATCAGGACTCTAGAGAGTCCTGATATAAAATAATGTTCTGGACAGTGTTCTGCACCCAATGTTAAAGGAAGCTAAAGAATAGGAAACTATTTGATCTGTACTTTGCATTCACTTTATCCTGTCTCTGCCCTTGGATGTGCAAAATTACAAAAGAAAAACAGAACGCAAGCGAGTTAAAGGTTATAAATACCTGGTGTCAGGAGTATAACAGAGGTGACAATCAGGGAGCAGATAACCAGAATAACAAGTAAAGCAATTGCAATTCCTTTCCAGTTTCTTTGTGGAGGATTACTCCCCACCAGCTCCTAGAAATAACAAAGGACAGGGAATATTAAGTAAAGGCATCAGAACAAGGAAACAAACAACAAAATCCAAACAGCAGTGCACTTTTTCCAGTATATTCACAATAGGGTGACCGTCCCAATATTTAGGCGTTTGTCCCGCGTCCCGACCGATCTTTGGTCGGGACGCAATTAGTCCCGATATTTCGTGGCACTCCTTTTTTTTTTTGCTCCCCGGGCGACCCCCCCCCATGTGTCCCGATATTTTCTTCCTCTCATCTGGTCACCCTAATTCACACTGTACCATATATCGCTGTGAACATGGTAGCACAAACAGCCACTCAGACTACAGTTTATTTCATAGTATTATATTCTGGTGTTTATTTCATTCACTCTCGATCAAAGTATAGGACCAATAAATATGATGGGCCAAATCCATATCTGAGATGATTCCTCTTGGGTAACTGTGTGTATCCATGGGAGGAGCAGCCAGAATGCTTTGAAGGGAGAGTGGAAAGGGTATCCCCTGTACTGTCACCCTTGTTACACTTGTGGAAAAGGGGTAGCACACTCCTCCCTCCTCACCCTGCCTTACCAGCACAGCCCATCAGCCTCTGTCTGCTGTGACAGCAGTGCCCAGGCATACCTCCTCGGGGCTAGTCAGCGCTCACAGCTATGCTAGGGTCCTCTCCCCAAACCTCTGCGCTTGCAGAGTGAGGGAGGTCATAACATTGCTTCTTCCTTTGTGGGAGTATTTGGTGTGGGTGCCCCCTCCCTCAGGGCACAGGTTTTGGAGCAGCCATCATCTGGCACTCACTGAATAGGACTTCATAAATATGTGCAGTCATCATATCTAAAATGGAAAAAAGTTAGATCAAAAGGGCTGTGTGATGCACATTCCTTTAAAATGGCCAAGAGCCAGAATCACAGGTGGGTGTGAATGAGTCCAAGAAGTCTAGAGGGAGCTACAGTCATGTAAACACCACCTTCTTACAACACCCCAACATATTGCACCAGCTTAGCCTCATGTAGACCAAGACTCGCTTAGACTCACGCCCACTTACCACCGTGTAACAACTCACTCCCTTCCCCTCACTGAGTGTAAGGTGTTTTAATGTGACTCTCAGGAAGTCTCGCACCAAGACACCAGAGAGGAGTACAGAAAGAAAAGCAATATACAGGAGGGTGTAAGTAGATAGAAGATAAACTAGGCCACCCCCTTCCTTGACTTACACCTTCTTCTCGCTCCTCAGAACATACTGCATCAACGTAGACCTCCTTCTGTTCACTGACCCATCGGATGCGAGTCTTACGCATCAGCTCTGAGCCTGGCCCCAAACATTCAAAAAGCCACACTGCTATTTACCGATAAGCTGGACATTATTGAGGTTTTACCATATAGTTCTGTTTCTGATCTCTCTGGCATTTCTGACAGAGGGTTTTATGAAGTACTGCATACACATTCATCATCATCATCATCACTTCCATAACCACATAAGTCATTGGGACACCATCATTGATGAGCAATCAACCTATTGTCTCCACCCCTGACAATTGTGTGTCAGAGCTTGAGTCTCCGCAAAGTCCATTCCTGTCCACTTTTTTATGTCGTCAATCCATCTCTTCTTCTGTCTACCTCTTCTTCTCTTCCCCTGTACTGTCCCTTGGAGGATGATCTTGGATAGGCCAGATGGTCTTGTTACATGACCGTACCACTTCAGCTTGAACTTCTTCACAGTCATCAGGAGGTCTGCATATGACCCAGCGCATTGGGTGATGATGTTGCTGACCTCTTCATTAGTGATGTGGTCAAAGTAGGAGATGCCCAGGATTTTACGGAAGCATCTCATCTCTACTACCTGTATTTTCCATTCAAATTCTGCCATAAGGGTCCATGTCTCGCACGCATACAGAATAATGGAGATGACCAATGCGTGCAGCAGTTTCAGTTTGGATTCCAGGGAGATGTTCTTATTCCTCCAAATTGGCTTTAGCTTTGCCACTGCTGCTGTTTGTGCAGTTCTTGCCCGAATTTCTGCCTTGGATCCTTCATCAGTGATGATTGCCCCCAAATACTTGAACTTTTTACTGTCTCCAGCTCTTGTCCACTGACAGTGATATGTGAGCTGATCCCATCACGTTTGTTTGTCATCAGCTTGTTTTTTTTCTGCACTGATTTCCATGCCATATTTTGTGGAGGTTTCATCCAATCATTTCACAAGGTTGGCAAGTTCGTCTTCACTGCCTGCCAGGCCATCGATGTCATCAGCGAACCGAAGATTTGAGATTGTTCACCCCCAATGCTGACTGTGCATATGTGATCTTCTAGGGCATCATCATTATGTACTCCACGTAGATGTTGAACAGTGTGGGGGAAAGAAGGCAGCCTTGCTGGACTTCAACAGTGGTGCAAAACCACCCTCCTATTGTGCCATTGACGAGAACTGCACTGCTGGCCTTGGCATACAGTTGTTTAATGGTAAGAATAAGCTGACGACCATCATTGTACTTCTTCATGGTTGCCCAGAGAACTTTGTGCCATACTCTGTCAAACGCCTTCTTGAAGTCAACAAAGATGTGGTAGCTGTCCTGCTGGTGTTGTAAGTACTTCTCACATAGAACATGAAGGTTGAAAATCTGTTCTGTGGTACTTCCAGCATGAAAGCCAGCCTGTTCTTCAGCAATGAATTCTCTGCTTGTGGCTTCAATCTGTTCAATATGACTTTCAACATCACTTCAGTAGGATGGCTAATTAAGCTTGTGGTCCGGTAATTTTGAAACAATTGCAGGTTGCCTTGCTTTGGCAGAGTGATGATTAGTGACTGTGTCCATGTGGAGGGCCTCTCACCGGTCTGTCAGCTCTTGTTGCAGAACTTGGTGAGTACATCTATTATATTTCTCCTGTCAATACCTGTAGCCTTTCTTTTCTTGAGTGATTTCACAGCTGTGTCCACTTCTTCACGCAGTATTGGAAAGTCATCATCCTCTGTTGAATCTGGGCTGTCTAAGACACTAGGATCTCCATTTGTCTGGTGGTTGTATAGATCAGAGCAGTAGTTTGTCCACCTATTGATGATGTCCCTTTCTTCTATAAGACTGTTCCCTTCTTTGTCTTGAACTGTGTTAGCTTTGGTCCATCTTTCCTTCATCAGATATTTTTCAACCTGGAAGGCTCATTTGCTATTTTTATTATTGATACACTCTTCAGTTTTAGAGCATTGTTTTTCAATCCATATCTCCTTGGCCACTTTCATTCCTTTCTTGATCTTTCTGCCAATTGCTCTGTATTTATCATCACCCTCAGTGCTGTTCTTGTCTCTCTTAAGTTCTCTTCTACTGTCACACATTTGTAGTATTTTATTTGTGACCCATGGTTTTGTCTTCTTACGATGTTTCTCAAGGATGTCCATTGCTGCCTCATTCATTACAGCGTCAAAATTGTTGGTTATTGTTTCTACGTCTTCCTCTAGAGCAAGCTGCGGGGCAAATTTTCAGCCAATCATTGCTTTAACCGTTTAATATCACAGTGGAACAAGTCTATGCCCCTACAACAGACTATGACGATGAGCAAATTGAAGATTTTTACAATCAGCTCCAAGACATCATCGATAAGGTACCCAAGAAAGATATCCTGATTGTACAAGGAGATTGGAATGCTAAAGTGGGTACTGACGCACAGGCAGATTGGCGAGATTATTGTGGCCCTTTCTATAATGCGGTAACCAATGAGAGAGGATTGAGACTTCTGGAGTTTGCCAGCTATAACAATCTGGTTCTTGCAAACACATTAGGCGCACATAAAGCATCCAGACAATCAATATGGCACGCACCTAATGGTCTACATCACAGCCAGATCGACTACCTCATGGTGCAAAACCGATCTCATTCTGGGATTAACAGAGCTAAAACAAGGAACTTCCCTGGTGCTGATATTGGAAGTGATCACGACCTTGTGATGCTAAATTTTTGGCTGTGGCTAAGGAAAATCGTCAGGCCAAAGTTCACCAGGACCAAGTTTGACTTAGAAACACTCAGAGACCGAAACAAACACATTCACAGGATCTTAAATATTTATTGCACCTTCTCCCTGCCTTAGTTTCCTAGCTTCCACTGGATTTCCCTTAGCACTGAAACATCCAATGGACTCTGCTTTCTGACCAGGTTGAATAATCACTCAGCAAATCTGGGCTCACAGCTAGAGCAGCACTAAAACTTTCACATTTAGACACTCTATTAATTTGGGATTTTGCCTAGTTTGAAAAATTATGGATGATGGTGGGGAGAAGTAACTTTACACTGGTTCTTGTTTCAGGTGCCCCCGTTTTTTTTTTTTTTTTACAGCAAAAGTGTTTTGTCCAAATTAAGCGCATGTGGAGTTCAAAAGAGTAATTCCATTTGCTGTGATGTGAAGGGTTTTTTTGTACAAAGAATGTCACCCTAATGGTAAGTAAAGTGGGACATTTGTGAAAATCTCACTCCCTTTGATCTTGGAGAAATGCTGGGGATAATGCTATATGTCAGTGGCTCTCAACTTTTTCCACATCATGACCCCCACGTCACAACAAAATAAAATTTTGGAACCCTCCTTTAATGTGGTTTGGGATCAAGGCATACAAAAGGTCTTGAACTCAGGCTGAGAACCCATGCTGTATGCCAGTAAGCATCTGAAAGTGACATCTGTATTTCAGCTGTTTATTCTGTTTCTTGGCTTTGTACTTGAAAGAAAAATATAATTAGAAAGAGCAAATAATTTTGTTTTATCATTGATATTAGAAGCAGAATCTGAAAAGTAGGTCAGGAGCTTTGAGAAATGCAAGTCTGACAGCAACTAAATAGAGAGGATAGAAATGCCCTGACATTATCCAGTCCCTTCCATTTGAGCATCTTTCAAACATTAATTAATTTAGCCTCCAACACCCTTGTGAGTCAGGGTTGCATTGCGATCCCCATATTTCAGGTGATAAACCTAGGACCCAGAGAGATTTTGTGATTTTCCCCAAGGAAGTCAGAGGAAGAGCCAGGAA